TCTTCTTACTGAGTTTTAGTAGCTTTTCCTCGTTAAATCTTTCTCATTTGCTGTATGTCCTTAGGAACATTTTCAGAGACTTGAAATCGTTGTTTTTTAATACTTTCCATTAGTTTCACTAGGTAGTAGTTCCAGGGAACTCCTCAGACTGCTATGCTAGAAGTCTGTCCTCTCAAATTAATATTTAGGAAGCTTCTTAAACCTTAATTCCAAAACACTGATAAAGATGATACCAAAATGAAACTGTAGATTAGTTTACTATTATTAAAGATATGAAAGTAGGCTGGATATAGTGACTTACACCTGTAATCCCAACACTTTGGGAGACTGAGGTGGAGGATCATTTGAGCCCAGGAGTTCAAGACCAGCCTGGGCAATATAGTGAGACCCTGGGTCTATAAAAGTAAAAATAAAAAAATTAGCCAGGTACTGGGGCATGTGGTCCCAGCTACTTGGGAGGCTGAGATGGGAGGATTGCCTGAGCCCAGGAGGTTGAGGCTGCAATGAGCTGTGCATGCCACTGCATTCCAGCCGGGGCAACAGAGCAAGACTCTGACTCAACAAAATAAATAAAGTGCTAAGTAAAATATTAGTAATTATCAATCTAGTAGTGATCCCTATGTAAGACACATTATAAGTAAGGTTTGTTTGGAGAGATGGTTCCATAAGAAATCTAGCAACACTTACTGTGTGCGGTGGCTCATGCCTGTAATCCCAGCACTTTGGGAGGCCGAGGCGGGCAGATCATGAGGTCAGGAGATTGAGACCATCCTGGCTAACACACTGAAACCCCGTTTCTACTAAAAATACAAAAAATTAGCCAGGCGTAGTGATGGGCGCCTGTAGTCCCAGCTACTCGGGAGGCTGAGGCAGGAGAATGGCGTGAACCCGGGAGGGAGAGCTTGCAGTGAGCTGAGATCGCGCCACTGCACTCCAGCCTGGGTGACAGAGCGAGACTCTGTGTCAAAAAGAAAAAGAAATCTAGCAACATTATTGGTATAATGCAAACTCTTTTCTCTTCATGTGCAAATAGTGAGATTATGCTCTTAGAAAAGCTGAATGATCCCACCAAAATGTTCTTAGAATTTATAGAATTTGGTAAGGGGATGGGATTCAAAACCACCAAAATGTTCTTAGAATTTATAGAATTTGGTAAGGGGATGGGATTCAAAATAGCATACGAAAAGTAATAGTGTTTCTCTATTCTAGTACTAACCAGTTAGAAATTTAAATGGAAAAAAAAAAAACTACTTAAAATAACCACACAATGTATGAAATAGCTAAGAATAGAGATTTAAGAAGAAAGACTTGAGGGCCAGGCACGGTGGCTCACGCCTGTAATTCCAGCACTTCGGGAAGCTGAGATGGGTGGATTGCCTGAGGTCAGGAGTTTGAGACCAGCCTGGCCAACGTAGTAAAACCCGTCTCTACTAAAAATACAAAAAATTAGCTGGGCGTGGTGGTGGGTGCCTATAATCCCAGCTACTCAGGAGGCTGAGGCAGGAGAATCACTTGAACCGGGGAGGTAGAGGTCGCAGTGAGCCAAGATTACACCATTGCACTCCAGCCTGGGCAACAAGAGCAAAACTCTGTCTCAAAGAAAAAAAAAGAAGAAGAAAGGCTTGAGATCTTTAAGAACTACAAATACTCCAAGGATATGAAATAAGACCTTAATGAATAGAGGAATGTTCTGTGTTCTTAAATGGGCGATTTTATAGTGAAACAAAACGAAAACCAGTTCTCTCCAAATTAATATAGACAGCACAATTCTAGTCAAAAATCTCAGTTGGGGAGTAGGACTGAATGAAATGAAATTATTTTAAAGTTTTACATTGTAGAATTCAGTCTAACAATAGTTGAGAGATTGATTTCAAAAATATTAAAACTACAAAGCTTCTGCAATTAAAAAACCAAAAAAGTGATATTAACACAGTAATGAAACAGTGGAACCATAATAGAGAGTCTAGCAAAAGATCCCAGTATGTTTCAGACTTAGTAATTTGTTGAAGTTAGTACAGATATCTTATCTGAAACCTTAGGGCCAGATGCCTCAGAATTCATTTTTGGGCTTCAGAAAGCCAATATGCAAGGCTGGACACAGTGGCTCACACCTGCAATCCCAGCACTTTGGGAGGCTGAGGTGGGAGAATCGCTTGAGCCCTGGAGCTCCTGACCATAGTGAGACCTCGTCTCTACAAAAAATAAAAAATTAGCCAAGCATGGTGGTGAGTGAGTACCTATAGTCCCAGCTACTCAAGAGGCTAGAGTGGGAAGATCACTTGAGCCCAGGAGTTTGAGGCTGCAGTTAGCCGTGATCACACAGTGGCAGTGCAGGCTGGGCAACAGAGTGAGACCCCTATCTCTAAAATAAAAAGAAAGACAATATGGTATTAGCACTAACCTCTCCAAAAGGATCTGGGGAAAGTGCCTTGTAGATGAGTCATGAATAATTCTTCACATGACATATATATAAATGGAATAAATAAAAATGTAATGTCAGTTCATATTTAGCCACCAAAGGAATTTTGGGGGAAAACTTGTTTTCTAGAGCCTTTTGGATTTCCAGTTTATAGATAAGGGATTATAGAACTGTATTCCAATTTGGTAGGGAAATAATGGTTTGCTTTGTACATTTCTGGAAAAGAAAATTTTGGACCCTCTACCTCATAACACATATAGATTGAGTTCATCCTTCATCTGAAAATCTGAAACACTCTGAAATCCAAAACTTTTTTTTTTTTTTAAGAGATTGAGTCTTGCCATGTTGTGCAGGATGGAGTGCAGTGGCTGGTCACAAGTGAAATCATTGCACACTATAGCCTTGAACTCCTGAACTCAAGCAATCCTCCTGCATCAGCCTCATGAGAGTAGCTGAGACTACAGGCACAAGCCACTGTGCCCAGTAAAATCTGACTTTTTCAGCACAGACATGACAAAGTAAATGCTCATTGAAGCATTTCAGATTTTGGGTTTTTTGGAGTAGGGATGCTCACCTGGTAAGTATAATGCAAATATTCCAAAATCTGAAAGACTTCTGGTCATAAGCACTTTGGATAAGGGATACTCAATCTGTATCAAATTCTAGAAAATTTGGCCAGGCGTGGTGGCTCATGCCTGTAATTCTAACACTTTGGGAAGCTGAGATGGGCGGAGGTCCTGAGCTCAGGAGCTCAAGACCAGCCTGGGCAACATAGGAAAACACTGTATCTACTAAAAATACAAAAAATTAGCTGGGTGTGGTGGTGCGTGCCTGTAGTCCCAGCTACTCAGGAGGCTGAGGCATGTGAATTGCCTAAACCCAGGAGGCGGAGGTTGCAGTGAGCTGAGAGCCCCTGCACTCCAACTTGGGTGACAGAGCGAGACTGTCTAAAAAAAAAAAAAAAAGAAAATTTAAATGTGAAAAAGAAAACCAAGATGAGAAAATAGTTAGAAAACTACAGACTCTGGGCGGGTGGTCCAATGTGCTTACCAGAGCACTCAGTTGCCGGTGGACAGGGAAATGCCGTGGGAAGCAGCAGCACAGATTCTTCTGTCTTTCATCCACAGCAGAAATACCCCACAGTGACAACATCCAGTGCTGATGGGCAGGCAGGAGGACCAGGTCACTGTTTTAACACAGGTGGAAGCAGCATGACTTGGAAATGTTCTGCAGTTAATTGGGCACTATCACTTTGAAACCAAACCTGGTTAGAATTAAAAGCACCAGCATGGAAGTGTACAGGTTTATTCTGGTGTTGCTGGGTTACTGTGGAGAAAATGTGGAAGCAATATAAATGTGCCTCAGTTGGGAGAATTTATGGTGTGGTCATCTGGGCATCCAGAGCCAGGAGGATAAAGTGTTGGCAAGTGAGAAAGAGTCACTGAGGAACGGTCTATAGTAGTATCCTAATTGTGTATCTTTAGTTTGTTATGAGCATGTATGATGTCTGTTAATATTTTCCTCCAGTAGTAGAGAAAACGTGCTAAGGAAAAAAAAAAATGAAGATGGAGAGAGTAGAAGCAGCAAGTGAGAAGGCTTTCTGAAACATGTAAATGGAGTGGGCGGGACTCAGTGGGCTCTCCCACCCCGCCAAAAATATCCTCCTTTTAGCTTACGGTTTTTATAATGATCAAAGTGAGATTTGCCTGTACTCCCACCATGAGGAAATGGCCCCGCATACTGACGGAAATCCTTCCAGACAAAATGGCTCTGGCATGCTTTGCAGACAGTACTATATTATATACCTTTCTTATGCCATTGGAGAGATGAGCCCGATTTGAAGGGCTGCATGACGTTCGTTTGAATGTACAATTTATTTAACCTTTTCTGCACTGAGGAACGTTTAGGTGTTTTCCCATTTTTCACCACTACAATCAGTGTGCACATATGTTTCCAATTCTTAAATTTAGGATAGGTTCTGGGAAGGGATTAATGAAACAGATTTTTACTTTTCATACATTCTGTCAAACTGCTTTCCAAAAAATATGGAAACAGTTGATCCTCCCACCAGCATAGAAGTGTCTCTTCAACCTTGCATGTCTGGGAATAATTCTTCATTCTTGGAATTCTGTGGGTTAAAAAGACATGTTTGATTAAATATCTGTTCCTGCTTTTATACCCTCCCCGTTGGTCCCAAAGTGCTCCTTGCCTATTAGCCTAGTTTGCACCTTGTTATGGGTTGCACCTTTGGCTCTTAGTTTCTTAATTTGTTCACTGCTTATAGCTTTTTTGTAAGCAAATCAGATTTCTGTAATACAGCCGTAAAGATATATAGAGATCTATAGATCTGTATTTTTAATTACCTACAGTAAGTGTGGTGTGGAAGGAGAAGGAATTTGAACAAAGATCAGATAGGTTGTGGTTCCATGCTTGTAGAGTGGGCCTCCGTTGGTGGGGCTGCGCTCCGGGTGGAAGCGTGGGTGGAGGGGCAGGGGGGCGTCCCTCTAAACTGGCAGGGTCGGGGCGGGAACTTGTAGGGCACTCAGAGCAGCCTCTCCAGCCCCTTCTGCCCTGCCCGCAGCTCATGATGGAGCAGTCCAAGAAGTCCTCGCTCATGGTGGCCCGCAGTATTCTCAACAACAAGCTCATCAGCAAGAAGCTGGAGCGCTACCTGAAGGTGAGGCGCTGGTCCTGGCCTGGGCTTGTCCCCACCTCAGTCCCCTGCCTGTGCTCCCTCCCTTCAGTGTCCGCGCCCCTCCCCACAGGGCGAGAACCCTTTCACCGACAGCCCCGAGGAGGAGAAGGAGCAGGAGGAGGCTGAGGGCGGTGCCCTGGACGAGGGGGCACAGGGCGAAGCGGCAGGGGTCTCGGAGGGTGTAGAGGGCGCGCCGG